CCGGCACTGGCCAGCCGAGTCCGGGGAACAACTAGGGTATTACATGTATAATGTGAGTAAAATATGTGATTTTTTTTTCCCCTTTGTGTTTCATCAGCCATGACCCGTGGTCTCACCTCAGGCATCAAATGCCAGGTCACCACAAGCTGGTCCAGCAACAACAGCAGCAGACCTCCACGCCAAATTTGTTCAGCAATCCACCCCCACTCAAGACTCCAGCATCCACCCCCTATCAGAATGGGTATAGGGAGCACCCAGGCAATGGGCAGGTTGGTAATGAGGCAGTGATACATGTTCCCGTACTTCAACCCGGTACCTGTGGGTAAAGGGAACAGCCGGGCATAACAAAGTTGTGATAGCTTGTACCCAGTACCCAATGGGTTCAACAACCCAACCCCCCTTTCAACTCCCCAGCACCCATTTCCTATGAGAATTGGGTACAGGGAGCACCCAGGTAATGAGCAGTGTAGCCATAAAGCTGTCATAGTTAATATCAAGTTCTCACTGGGTGCAGCAACTCACCCCCTCGCTCAAGACCTTAGTAACTGTACCCATTCCCTGTCTAAGTTGGTGCAGGGAACAGCGACTATAAACTGGTAAGCCATTCAGCTGTGATACTATTCAGAGGGTTCAGAAACCCATCTCTCCAAAAGGCATTTGCAACTTTTGCCAATAGCAGTCATTCACGGTCACCATTTGGATATTAGGCAACTAGTGTCCAACCCACATCCTGTCAAGACCCTTGCATGCATTCTTTGTCAGGAACAAACAATTAACTCGATGTACATGTAGGACTGTCAACTTTGCAACCACGATATACATGTATTTCATATTTTTGTTGAAGTGTGCCTCTGCATGAAGTGAAAAACTGTTAAGTAGATCTTTGTTGACTTTCCAGGACGGTGAGCCATTTGTTCAGTCTTCTGATGAGGAAACTCTGGGGCAGCAGTACGAGCGAGGAGAGATCGAGGGTGCTGCCAGTGACGAAATACATTTGCAGAGACAAAACAAGGGGCACCAGGTTCCCAGCCATGCTCAGCAGGACCTGAACTCTCATGGGAACCAGGGACAGTTCCAGAGCAATGGATATGCGCAAGGTAACTTGCACGGTAACCGGCCAATGACCCACGGGTATGGCAGTCAAGGTGACCACTGCGATTATCAGACAGCCCATGGGACGAATGGATACTCGGAGGAGGGCTTCAGCCGTGAATATGCAGAAGGAGACCACATGCAGAATGGGAGCTTTGAGAACAACTTTGAGAAGCAAACACTGCAAAATGGCGACTACGAGTATCAGGACCAGATGCACGACAATAGAGTCCAACAGTACAGTCCGTCACGTGCCTACACTCAGCAATACTCCCCCAGCCGTCCCCATGTCAACACTAACAACCGACCCGCATTGCAGCAGGCCAGGAAGCCCCCGACTTACGCGAGGGATCTTCATCAAGGGGGCCATCCCGCAAATAAAAACGACCCTGCCGTTCACAGGTAGGCAAAACGGGATCTGTACTTTCGCAGTCAACCTGTGCATGCCGGCATCCTGTTTGATATTGCTGTCTGGCATACAGCAGCAGAATTTGAACTTTTCCCCAGAGTAGAAAAGTAGAGATGGAGGCTTGTTACCATAGGCTTTGGTTCTCAGTGTTGGTTTCTGAAATTATCGACCGTAACCTTTTAAGCCCGTGTCTACTTAACGGTGGGCAATATCTGTCAGCTTCTTCTTCTTGGCTTCTTCATCCCGATTGCTATTTCACTTGATGAGCAGGTTAAACCTCTACGACGTAAACCAATTCAGGGGGAATGTGGAATTAGTCGGCATGATTTTTGCCTATTTTAGAAGGATTTCAGATTTCAGTTTTTGTTCTTTCATTTCCTATTATTTGTTCCATTGTCAACATTCCGTACTGCAGTCATTGTACTTTTGGGGTCCGTAGGGAACTTTGTCATATTTTGCCTTCAGAGCCAAATATCACACTTGAATTAGATCGTGAAATTGGCTGACATTTCTTTTGCTAGCAACTTGCCATGACATGCATGAAGAATAGAAATGATTCACAGAAGAGAAAGGAGAGCCTCATATTGTTGCAATTTTCCTCATTCAGTGCTAAAACAAACCCACATACAGGTACATCCCATAGTGCGGAACCTCAAATGGTTATAAAAGTTTCAGTGTAGACATATCCAAGTTTTGCCTTTGACTGCCCAAGCCACTTGACATGCGCACATCAGTCATGACTGCCAAGTGTTGACAGAGTCTGGTACCTTGAACCTTGCCAGTTAAATGTGTTTTATTCCAGGGTTCAGTACAGAGGTGACGGGGCCACCGCCACGTATGTCAATCAGCAGGAGGCCATGCAACATGGCATGCAGGCTATTAATGGCTTCCCAGCGGTCACCAGCCATGCTGCTGTGGGTTTTGCAGAGCCGGATGCAGGGGACCAGTTGCAAAAGCAGTTCTTAGGTGTTGGTGAGTAAGGCTGTATCCAAAGTTGGTTTCCAAAATTACATGTACTACTAGGTCTGTTATCCGGGTGTCCTCACGTATTTCCAAGGGAGTGAAGACTTCAGACCTACATCTAGCTCCAGGCAACAATCAGATATAGCCTAAACTTGGTTTTGATTATTCTGTTGTTGCTATTTTTCCCTTTGGCGCCAATTAGAAAAAGCACCCCCCTCATTTAATAAAAAGTCTTTTGGCCAATTGTGTTACCCCAACCTACTTAAACAAATCAAATCTCATCAAATCTTCTGTTGAACATATGGCATTATAGAATGACATTCCTTGATTAGTAGAAAAAGTGTCAGATAATGAAGAGGTTACACAAGTGAAATTATATTTTGTGCGTTACATTGAAAAACATTGTGAGTCCCTCTTTTGTCAACATTTCTTTCCAACTGTAGGTGGTGATGAGGAGACCAGGCAGATGGCACAGCTCCAGATCCTGTACAAGGCGAGAGGAAGGGAACTAGACCAGCTCAGGGGTCAACTGCAAGTGCTGAAGGAAGAGTCGGCCAGAGAGAAGCGGATAATGAACCACCAGCTGGCCTTGGCCCAAGGTGATTCCCTAAACCTGCCCACACCTCCTGTGTCCAATTGGTCGATCCCTGGTAGTTTGAGTTATTTTACAAATCCCTAATTGTAATTAATTAATTTATTTATTTGTTTATGTAATCACCAACAACGGATACCCGCCAGTTAACAGGGATTTTTTCAAAAGAAATATCTATAAATACTTAAAACTACATTAAATTACATAAAACAAACCAAAGTACAACTACACATGTAAAACATAAAAACAAATACAAAATATACCACACACAAACAAGCTATATTCCCAAAAGCAACACATAGAAAAACAGGGAAAGGGGAGGATGGAATGTTGGAAGGGACGGGGGACAAGGGAGAAAGATAACGGGAAGGACGAGTAGAAGACCCAAGGGGCAAGATATATGAAGGCTAGGGGTAAGCAAGAATAAGGGTAAATGAGAGAGACTAGACTAAAGCACCAAAGGAGGACCAAACTTAAATATTGATAACTTAAAAATCCATTTAATAAGAATTGAAAAAAAGACAAAGTAATGGGGATTAAGTCTGTGTATTGTCAAGGCTGTGTTTGGCATCCCAATGAATTTCTGTTTTGAATCAAGTTTCTCACATTGAGATAGTGGTTAAGAGTAAGTTCTTACAGTGTCAAGGTAGTTTGCATGTAATCACACGGTAAGAGTGTTTGACTTTTTGGTTCTGGAGGTTCTGAACTGTTTCAAAACGGACTTTTCCCACTAAACATAACACCCCCGCACTGTCACACTCTCTACGGATGTGACTCATTTGTTGCTAGTAACAATGAGGTTGTGTGTTAGGGAAATACATCCTTTTTCATCGCAGGGGAGAGAGCAGGCGCCGCTGCCAGCTATGAGCAGTGCCAGGACCTACTGGCTGAAGCCCAGCAGGAGAACAGCACCTTGAAGGGGCAGCTGCAGGCCTCACAGGCCCAGATACAGGTGCTGAACGTGGCCAAGCACGAGGTAGGAATTCAGGGGACTTACGGCCCGTCCTAATCTGTTTTTAGGTCATGTCTGAAATGGGCTTCTGGTGCTACGGCTAAGTCTCTTGTCAGCATGTGTGCGATGTGTCGGCATCCAGCAAAGACCTAGAGTTGGCCTGGTACTCTCTATTTGGATGTTGCCTTACATCCCAAATATTTGTCTTGTCGCTTACTTTGCCCTTCAGTGGCTCCAGTTGGTTTTAGGACTCCGATTTGATGGACCTTGGCTCAACAAATGTCTGTCTGCAGCTTGAGAAGTGTCAGGCCAGTGTTAGGTGATGTTTTGTTTGAATATTCCAGGGCTTCTAAAGATGCAGAGCCATAAATGATGCTGAAGTTAAAGACAGTGCTCATGTTTTCAGTCATGCAAGTTTTCCTCTGATTACAGGCTCTCATTTTTCACAACTCATGCCTTTGAAAATTTAGAAAGCAGTACAAAATCTTGTAAACATTGGAACTTCCACATTTTTGGCCCAAATCCAAGTTGCATGGCTGTGTTTTGGAAAAGAGCATAAAAGTGCTGAAAGGTATACTGACCTTTTTTATGGACCCATTATAGCTTGTTTTCTTGTTCTGAGTGTGTTACTTATTAGATACCTATGCAGAACATTTAGAATTACTTCACCAATCACCTGTAATTCTTTACCTGTGTCTTCATTTTTTTTCCAGTTTCATTTGCAATTCTGGCTGTATGTCCATTTCTGCTCCCATTTCTAGGACTGTCACAATTGTGTGTCTGACTTCAAAAGTGGATTCTTTCCTACAGTCTGAAGTGTTTTTGGCAGTCTTTAAGTCTTTTTTGACTCTACATGTATCCCAAACGTTTGACACTGCGGCAGGTGGAAGAGAAACTGCAGTCCACCCAGTCGGCCATCGACAGTCTGACTGGCCAGCTGACAGAGCTCCAGCGTTCGCAGCCCCTGGCCAGGGCTCGGGAACAGCAAGATGGACTGCTGAAGAGTCTGCAGGACAGGTACGAGCAGGAGGTGACCAGGCTCAAGGAGAAGGTGGACAGTGGTGACAGAGCCCTGGAGGAGAAGGTGTGTATCTCTGAGGGTGAAAAGTATCCTCGGGAGACAAGTCACAATTACTAGATCTGATTTGTCAGATTTGACTTTCGTTGGGATATTATTTTATGGTTGGAAAACCTACTTGCTGTAACAAAGATCTTATCACATTACGATCTTTATCAACGTTCTCAGAAAATTATTCCTGGTGATTGCTCAGACCATATGCCAAAAGATAGTTGCATCATCCAATTTAAGTTTTCAGTCCTCTTCAATTATGAGGTATGAGAATTTTTTGGTATTGAAAATTTTGAAAAAAAAAAGGTCTTCACTATCGATGGCTTCGGTTTTGTTTTTTCCAGTTTTTGTTTGAATAACCCAACAGGAGTCCTCAAATGAGTTGTTTTTCAAAGTTTTTAGAAACCCCGGTATGGTCAGTGGTACGTTGCTCAATTTCTGACAGACTAATGAGATAGCAAGCCTTCGTCGGGAGCTGTCTGGGGTGAGCAGGGCAGCCGAGCAGGCCAAGCTGGAGCAGGGGAACACCATCAACGCCCTGACCAATCAGCTGCAACAGAGCCAGAAGCAGTGCAGAGAGCTCCTTGAAACAGGTGGGCAAGAAAGCCTGGCTGGTTCGCATATTTCAGAATCCTGTCAACCTTTGATGTTCCCCCACTATTGCTACCCGTTGGGAGTCACATTTTTTGTCCTTATGCTTGAAGTGGTTTCACTCCAATAGGAAGAAAATTGGGTACTCACTCAGTGAGCTGAAATACTTTTCTAACCTTGGACACGCTTCACTCCTTAATAACTTGTATGCATGATTCAAACATGGGTGAAACAGGAATATTGCTCCTGTATGCACATAACATGCATATACCAATGCCTACGTGAAGATGAGATTGCCGACATCAAGTCACTTCAGTGGCATTCATCTCAAGTGTAAAGTCTGCATGAGCAGAACAGATCAGACTTACTCAAGTCTGCAAAAAGGGGTGCCGATCTGTTCAGCTGGTATACACTCCCACATGCTTCTTGTTATGGGTCGCTGCCTGATATCACTCCCATTGATGTTTGTGGCGTCACTACAGAGGCACTCCTCACTTGTTCTTGATTTGTCTTGCTGCGTTTTCCAATACCAGGCTCACTCCAGGAGATCAACCTTCTCCGGGTCCAGCTCCAGGAGGCTGCAGCTGCCCGCACCTTCAGTCAGGACATGACCAGCGCCTTACAGGTCAGGCCAATAAAATGAAACTTTGGATTTCAGCACTTCCGTTCATTTATGGATAAGGAAAGTTTTAAATGACAAAACAGTTTCTGTGGGGTGAATTAGGGATCTGTGTGTTTTACAAGCCCTTGACGTGGTATCTATGTTGTAAGGTTTGTTATCTAGGAACTCCATTATAGAGTATTACGTACAAGATGAAATGAGAAGCCAGCATTTGGCTGCTATTGTAGAGGAGTCCACAGAGGTAGCAGAGAAGCTGGTGTATCCGGTTATTACAGGCATTGTTGACGACTTTGAGTTGCGTTGTTTATCGTTGCTATGCCAGTCTGACCATCAAATTGTTTCTGCTTGTGCAGTCAAAGGAGTTCTCTATCTTGTTGATGCAGGAGGAGTTGTCGGAGATGAAGGAGGAGCTGCAGAGGTACGAGTCGGCCATGGAGTTGGGCGTCGGGGCGACTAAGTCCCCCGAGTCGGCCCACAAGTCCAAGTCCTTCGCTGTCCGGAACTTGGCCAAGTCTGACTGGAAGACACCTCAGAGCCAAGGGTAAAATCAAAAGCTGAAATGTACATGGTACATGCTTGGCATTTCAGCATTGTCATACATGTGTTGCAACTGTCAGGGTTTTGATGAGTTCCCTCTATGCCCATTGGCATATACTTTACATCTGGCTTCAGGTTTTTGTGTTAATCATAATTCCACCGGCCAAGATACCTGACCATTTAACAGTTACCCATTTACAATAAAATCAATTGAGGAACAGCCTTACAAGCTACGTAATTTCAGAAATGGTGTCATTATCAAGTACCACCCTTTCATGAAAAACTGTCAACTCTCCCCTTTCAAAAAAATAATGCAAATTCCCACTAAATGAAGTCACAGTACCAGCCTGAGTAATTATATCCTCACCGTTTGTGCTCCAGGCCGTCGTCAGATTCCACCCCCAAATTGTCCCCGGAGGATCTGGTGCAGGGCCTGCGCAGGGAGCTGGAGCGTGCCCTCCAGAGCAACCGGGCCAAGCGCACCCAGGTCTCCAAGCTGCAGACCGACCTGCGAGCGGCCAAGACCGAGATGGAGGGGGTAAGGGCAAGGCTGCTGGAGTCGGAGACTGCTGCCAAGGATCACGAGGTAAAGCGTACAATGGTGACAGTACCTTGTGTGCTTATCGACAAAAAAAGCTGCAGCCTCTTTCTGTAGATTATTTGTGAAGCCGGCTTTAGGAGACACAGTATAAAAATGAAAAGATAACGAGCATGACTTCCATTCAAACTGTTTGTAAATGCATGCACGTGATGCTCTGAGGATGTCAGTACTTTCAAACCAGACACAAATAGCATAATTGTTGGAAAGTTTAAAAATTCTGCTCTTGAAAAAAGCCAAAACACAACATCATAAAAATACACATATTATTAAAGGCACGATTTTCTTGAAATTCTGACCCAACATGACCGCTCTTGAAATTGCACAATTTTTTTTTCACCAACAGAATCTTGGTTCAGTTTAGTCCTCTGATAAGGAATACCCAGGTTGAAATTATAGATCTACGCATTTGTAAAATTTGCTAGTACCTGTCTGAAGCATTCTGGTGACTTTTCCTTGACTCCAGCAAACCTGTGCACATTCTTTATAGGGAGAGGTTATTGTCTATCATGCCTCAAGACTCTTGGAGTTGCCAAGTACTTGCAAGATAACTCATGAAGTTTCTGTCTGGCAAGGGCTGTCGTAAACTCTAACTATTTCTCTCCTAAACAGGTCCGATTCAAGGTGTTGGAAGCGCAGCTTGAGACCACCAAAACCTCGCCTGCAGGTGAAAGCACCTCATCTAGGCATCTTACAGAAGAGATCGACAAGCTGCAGACAGAGAAGGAAGATCTGGCAAAGACGCTGGAGGCAGCCCGGGCCGAGGAGGGCCGACTGAACGAGGCGAACTCTGACCTGAAGAAGCAGATGGCCCAGATGGTGTCTGAGTGGGATCAGGACAAGAAGGTTGACTTGGAGAGGTAAGGAGAAGGGTTGGGCTTTTTAAATTCTTATCATTAGTACTAAGTATTTCTTGTAATGAAACCGCGGATTCCTCAAGAGTACCTTTGGTACTGTAGCTCGTAAGCCTGACGAAGTCTGTCGCGAGGAGACAATGAGAAGCGGTTACAGTTTCAGAGAAGGATTTTGGATAAAAACTCACAGGTAGGGACTGAAAATCCATTCCACACATGGACCGGGCTGGAAATCGCAACCTGGACCACAGAGGTGAAAGGTGTGCCAATCAGACCCTCCAGAAGGGAAAGGCTGTGTCCAAATTACCTGGCTGTGGTGTGGAACAAAACAAGTGTCTGTGGAGAATGCATAAAGCTATGTGAAAGTGGCTTCACTAGGAAGGTATGTTACTCAGAGCCGTAGCCACGTAATTTGGACTCAGCCGGAGAATGGCCTAGTTCCTAGAATCAACTTAATGCCTATGAAGCTGTCTACTTACCAGCCTAATAACTCTGTTGTTATTTGGCATTGAGTGGGGATATTGTGGGTTATTGTTTTTGTGTAGCAATATGTTACCAGCACAGATTTTTGGCATCTCATAATCAGTGATCAAGGAGAGAACTAGCAGACAGTGCCCTGACCAGGACATGAACTAAAACCGTCAGTAATTGTCACTTCCGACAGCACAATTCGTGATTCAAATTTTGAGTTCAAATTTACAATGTTATTTATTTTGTTTGGTCTGCCTCACTAAGTTGTTTCGTTGAATATGATTCTTTCCAACTTTTTGGAGAAGACTGTTTTAAAAATAGTTCGACTGTGACTGACCTCATTGCAGGGTGCAGACGACATGCCTACGGCATCATGAGGACTCATCGCGTCACCTCAGGGAGGAGTTAATGGCTGAATTCCAGTCTGAGAGAGACATGCTGAAAGAGGCCCATCAACATCAGTTGCAGGAACTCAGGTAGGGTTGAGGGAATTGATCCAAAGTCACGACAACTTAGGTGAACAGGCTATTACAAAATTAAGAGTATTCTATATGCTTTTCTGAGGCAGTACTGGGTTCATCCCTACTTTGAATGGCATGCTTAGGATACGTTTCCTATGGAAATCTTTCAAGTATTTAAAGAGGTGTCCCACAGGCTGATCCAAGGAAATGCCAGCCATTACTACAGTGTTTCACCATTCACAAGGGCATTCTGAAACCTGAGATGGACATGTGCTTTGGCAAATCACCGCACCCTATGACCAAAAGAGGGCTCAATTTTCCTAGCAACGGAGGCTCCTTTGGTCAGAACTGCACTTCGCTGGTTCACGAACGACTAGGTAATGCATGCGTTACGGTCGCATCGCTACCAACAAAATGAACACTCCCTACCAACATGGCTCTTTTCAACTGATGAGGGGGTACTTCTGCTCAAGATGGATTGGTTGAAGAAGCTTGCAATTTGTGTGAATCACTTGCCCATGAGCAAGATTCCACCGCCAGTAATGGCTTCTCATTCAAGTTACCCAATCAATTATGAGAAGAATTTATTTCTGCTGTTGTCAGCCCAACTTTTTGGCTGCTGTTCCTTAAAATTGGCCAGTTGCCTCTTTCAAGGAAGTGTTAGATTCTTTTAGTTATAATACAACTTATATAACAGTCTGGGTCATGTCTGCGTCAGGTCTGAATTGGAGCAGGTGCAGAAGGAGCTGGATGCAGTGAAGGAACTCTACATCGCCGTGTGCGAAGAGAAGAATTGCATTGAGGATACCGTCAGCAAAACACTGAAGCTAGAAGCTGCCAAACAGCTAGAAAGGGTGAGATTGTGAATGTGCCTGCATTCAATATTTGGTTGTAAAAAACATCCTTTTTTTAAATTTATGGCGTCTCGAAAAAAGCAGGCAGGAACAGGCACATGCCATTTAATATGCCACATCTTGCTGTAGCCCAGCATCCGAGCCAAAGAGAAATTTGTCAAGCATGGTACTTGCCAACCAAATGGACCTGAACTGAACTCACTTGTTCAGTTTGGAATGCATGGAAAGAAGCTCACTGACACGTCATAAGACAGGGTCCTGCACAGGGCCTACATGTATTCAACTGGTTAATCCATGCCAGCATTTAAGTTTTAAAGTGGGCAGGACTAGTTTTGTTAAACACTGGTTACTGTTGATTTCAAAATTACTGACAAACCCAAACCAACTTACTGTTGAAACAATAATGCTTGAAAAATGCAAACTGCAAACTGAACTGAAAGGTTCTTTGACTGGCAGCATGAGGAGAAGGTAATCTCAATACACACTCCAATCACTCACTGCAAGGCATTTGTTCCCCAGGCCAACGAGGAGTGGCAGGCCCAGCACGATGCTGCCCTGCAGGAGCTGCAGGAATCCCTGCAGAGCAGTCACCGCGCTGCCCTGGTGACGGCCAAGAGTGCCTGGAAGCAGGAGGCAGAGGACGAGGATAAGAAGACAGTGGAGGAACAGGTAGGAACGACAGCAGAACACGCTTCTTCAAACTGAATAATATCCTTGGGGATTAGCCTCATTTTAGTCTGTTACCTGAAGAACCTTATCCTCTTGACATGGTGTCCTGAGTCATGGAGAACCAGGGAATTCATTAGTGCTACAGAAAAGAAAGTACTACAGTAAAGAGTCCTGAATCATTGATTACGATTGTAAAGTTTACTTGACAAGGCACCGTGCTAATGTTGCTAATCAAGGTTACTTTGTGAAGAAACTACTTGCAGAACACCCAAGTACTACTTTTTGACAGGTTGGTATTTTGTCGTATACTGTCAGTGTCATCCACATTGTCATCTGAACATCATCTGAAAGAATAGTTTCATATCATTCTAGTGATTTTATTTTATCTACTTGTGAGATATTGGTGAAAGGGAAGAGAGATAGTATTACTTTTAAACATGGTGTGCTGGGGTTATATCGGTTACATTGCATTCTGTTCAACAGTTGGCCCAGGCCAAGGTTGAGTGGAGCGAGGCTGCACGCAAAGAGTTCGTCAAGAGTGCGCTCCTTGCCGCCGAGTCGGAGTGGAAAGTCAAGCTGGAGGCAGAGCTTGAGGAGAGGGTCGAGCAAGGTGGGTTGATCCATCTGCTGTGATGTCATGGCTCAGAGTGGCCCTTGTGCATTGGGGCATTCTTGGTTGTGCTTGCTAAGCTAGCTGAGGTTTGTTTGATATCGGCAGGTTTTTGTGTCTGGGTTAGTTTATTTGAGACTCGATTATTGAGCTTAGTGAGTCATGCCAAATCCAGTATTTTTAATAGTCAACCTGTGGTTGAAATAGAAAAGGTCAAAACAGTATTTGTTTGGCAAACTAGCAAAAAGTCCAATTAAATTTCTTTGGTTGACTTCTCCAGCTTTTCTGTCATTTAACTTTACACAAGACTGCTCACTCTATTCTGAATGTCAAATCCATATTAACCTATCAAAGTCAAAGTCTGGTATAAAGTGCTTTTTACGTATCAGCGGTGTTCACCCAAATTCTGTTATGTATTTGCTACACACCCTCCTGAATCCTTTGCAGTCCTCACAAAAACTTATAAGCGGGAACTGCACTCTATAGTGTTGGCCAGAATCACTGACGACATCAACCACTTACCTCCGGGGTGCCCCTTTACCGGAGACGTTGGCTTTATACGCATAGGCGGGGTGCCTGAAATCCGACAAAGCAGCTGGGCCTTGTAACAAAAGACCGTACTCGGAACAAAAAAACCGAGCTGCTGTGACTTACCATCATTTTTCAGTCGGCAGTAGCAGAGGTAATCCGTCATTGCTTGCGACATTCAGATCCTGCGGATTATTAGCGGGGACAAAAGTGCTCCAGCACTCCAGCGATGAGCCATACAGTACCACTGCACGCTAGTCTGGCCGCATTTGAAAAGACACCACTGCCGTTCAGCAACGCACTGGGCCAACTTTGGGAACAAAGGAAATTACTCAACACCGCACAATCTGGGTTCTCTTTACTCGGCAGCAGACCTCACTGCAATACTTGGGCGTCAGTGGAGGTTGCATGTCAGATTGGAGTAGCTACCAGACAGTCATTTGTCCAGTAAATGAAGTTATGAATTGTTGAAGAATTTTGAAAATGGAAAATCTTGACGATCGTCTGGCAACTCATCCTGCATATACAAATTCCACCTGGCAGGAAGTGGTTAAAACCCAAAATAGATGTCACTTTTCTTTCTTCCATTTCCCGTGTGCAGCCAAGAAGGATCTAGGAAGCAGGCACCAAGAGCAGTTGAGCCAGCAGGAGCAGCAGCTCCAGGCAGAGCACGAGGCCGACAAGGCCGCAGCCATCCAGATGGCCCTTGCCGATGCCAAGACGGAGTGGACTAAAGCCACCGAGGCCAGCGATAAGGAGAAGATGAAGAGAGCCATTGAGATTGCCCGGGAACAGTGGATGCAGGAAGGTAGGGGAAATATAAGA